GCCCCCACTTCGCCGCTCCTCCAACGACCAAAAAAAACGAACCTACCAAAATGTTACTCTCAAGCCAGTGAACCCAAATCCGAGCTCTAAAGTCCCTCACCGGCATAGATCTTCCCTTAAAGTTTCAGCTTTACCTTTATCGTCGGCGACCGTTGCCTTCCGGTAGCTTTTCGATTGAGGCTTCGACTTTCGGTTTTCTTTATGTATTGCTTTGTTTTCTTTCGTGGGCTTCGGCCTTTGGTTACGTTTTGCTGTGTTTTTTGTTTTGATTGGTTCTTTTGGTTGAGATTACTCTCGGGGGTTCTCGGTCTATGATGGTTGATGTTTGCTGACTGTGGGTTTGCTGGTTCCGTTTACTGTGTACTGTGTTGATATTTTGGTTGTTGGCCGATTGTTTTTCTCGGTATACTGTTGTTCTCCGTGTGATGTGACGATGATGGTTTCTGGTGGGTTTTCTCCGTTTTCGACCGTTTTTTTGCAGTGGCTTGGTGGGGGTATTTATACCCACCGGCCGTTTGTTGTTCTGAAATACGGGGCTCGTTGTTGGATGGGGATTTCGAGATGGGTCAGTCCCGATTTCCTCGGCCGAAAATCTCGGCCAGATCCCTTGGCCGTCTGTTGCGCGTAACTCTTGACCCCTTGAATTCTTCCTGTGCGGTGCCATGGAACTTTGCGTGGGAACCCTAAGGACTGGTTCAGGCCCATTAACCTATGTTGGACCCGAACATTATTTGGGCCTGGACAAAAAGATTTTAGGTTAACAAAACAAAATGGATGAAAAAAATGATAATAATAATATATATTAATTACTAATATAGTATACACTATATAATATATATTTCAAAAATATTTTTTAAATTATATATTATATTTTAAAAAATTTTTCAAAACTATATATTATATAGTTTTCAAAAATGATTTAAAAATATTATATAAGTTTAAAAATATTTTTTAAAACTATATATTATATAATTTCTCAAAAAGTTTTTTTAAAACTATATATTATATAAGTTTTTCAAAATACTTTCTAAAACTATATATTATATATATTTTTTTCAAAATGATTTTTTAAAAACCTTATAATATATATATTTTCAAAATGATTTTTTAAAAACTATATAATATATATTTTCAAAATGAGTTTTTTAAAAACTATATAATATATATATATGATTTCAAAATGTTTTCAAAACTATATATATATTATATAATTTTCTTAACTATATATTATATAGTTTTCAAAAAATATTTTAAAAACTATATAATATATATTTTCAAAAATGTTTTAATATATATATATATATATATATATATATATTATATACGTAGTTTCAAAAATCATTTGCAAACTGATACGAACTAATGGGTTGGTTCAAGTGGTAAGTAACTTCATATCGCTTATTTAAGCAAGTCTCGAGTTTAAGTCATTGTGTATGCAAAAAATCTCTGTTAGGAGACTAACCTATCAATATAAATTGTACGGCCCGAGTAGGTTCGAATTAACCAAGATAAAACCTTCATAACTGGAAGGGCAACCAAAAAAAATACTAATACCTAACGAATAGAGTAGTGATTATCATTGGGTCGGAATAGAAGTGTACATTGGGTCAGTGGTGTCGGTTGTTGAGTTTGAGTTAACTAGTTAGACTGAATCCTTTCGAAAGCAATAGCTTGGAGACGGGTGGCCTCACTGCAAGATGAAGTGTGGATTCTGATACAGTCAGGCACGTGCGCTTCTAAACGTGGCTTGCACTTGCACCTAATCTCTCACGATTCTTCTTTCTTTAATCCATTGTTATACGCATATTTTACAAATTCTATACATACAGCTGCAATTATGGATAAAATAAAATATTCTAACATAAACACGATAAAAAAAAAACTGAAATAAAATACAAAAACACGAAATAGAGTATGTAATGAATATGTGATACGAATGTGCAAACGTTTAATAAAAATAATATAAATGAAATTAATATCGACGAGGCATTGATATAATTTATAAAGGCTTTTAATTAATATTAAATTAATCATGTATTATTATTATTATTGAATTTGATTGTCCATTATTGGGCTCTTTGTAAATCAGCCCAAACAGTTGTTTCCCCCTAAAATTTTCAAATAATTAATTAATGGGCTCATAGTCATCAAGCCTACAAATTTTCTTTCTTTCTTTTCTTTTTAATAACTTGCTTTATTATAATATTTTAGTGTTCTTAATGGCAAAATTAAAATATTGTGGACGAAAAAGTATTAAAAATACGGTTAGTGGAAAATTATTAAAGAGTCTACGAAATTTACTATAGAGATTTGAAATTCATCATGTAGGCATAACGCTTTTCATAAAATATAAATTTTACTGGAATTCGTTAAGTGAGCATGATAAGTTCTATAAATGAATTTCATAAAATATAATTTTTATTAGAATTCACCATGTTATCATGACAAATTATAATAAAAAATTATATTTTATGAAACTCGTTATGCTCTGGTGATAAGTTTTCAATTCATTGTAGCAAATAATTTAGATCGGCAAAACTTTCGAGATAATGTTCTGAAATAAATTAATTCACGAGCTAATGCACTCCCAAGATTAATTGCTCAAATAGGGTGAAATCCACAGTGTTGGCCGTAGGTCGCCCTGCACTCCGGGCGACCCACCCTTGCTCAAACAGAGAGAATGAATGTGTTGCATGACACATGCACGTCCCAACACATAGGTCGCTTTGCCCTCCGGGCGACCTTGTAGGTCGTCATGCACTCCGGGCGACCTACCCTCGCTCGGCTTCCCTCGGATTCCCATGCATAGCTCGCTCAGTTGCCCTCGGATGCCCTCGCATAGCTCGTTCGGATGGCCTCGGTCGGATGGCCTCGGATGCCCAGCGTGTTGGGACGTGCATGGCACATGCAATCTCTTGTAGCTCGTCGGGAAGACATGGCGACCTAGTAGGTCGCCCGGAAGGCATGGCGACCTACGGCCAACACTGTGGATTTCACCTTATTTGAGCAATTAATCTTGGGAGTGCTTTATCTCGTGAATTAATTTTTCCAAAACATTATCTCGAAAGTTTTGCCGATTTAGGTAAAACTTTCGAGATAATGTTCTGAAAGAAATTAATTCGCGAGCTAATGCACTCCCAAGATTAATTGCTCAAATAGGGTGAAATCCACAGTGTTGACCGTAGGTTGCTATGCCTTCCGGGCGACCTTGTAGGTCGTCATACACTCCGGGCGACCTACCCTTGCTCAAACAGAGAGAATGAACGTGTTGCATGGCACATGCACATCCCAACACATAGGTCACCATGCCCTCCGGGCGACCTTGTAGGTCGCCATGCACTCCGGGCGACCTACCCTCGCTCGGATGCCCTCGGATTCCCTCGCATAGCTTGCTCGGCTGCCCTCGGATGCCCTCGCATAGCTCGTTCGGATGGCCTCGGATGCCCAGCGTGTTGGGACGTGCATGGCACATGCAATCTCTTATAGCTCACCAGGAAGACATGGCGACCTAGTAAGTCGCCCGGAAGGCATGACGACCTACGACCAACACTGTGAATTTCACCTTAGCAATTAATCTAGGGAATGCATTATCTCGTAAATTAATTTTTTTCAAAACATTATCTCGAAAAATTTATCTTTTTAAAAAACGGTTGAATGACAACATTTTCTATGTAAAGAAAAAGGGTGAAAGATGCACTGAAATTCTGACGTCTTCATTGGAGACGTGTTACACTTTTGGTGTCTTCATCAAAGATGGATGGTAGTTTGACGTCTTCTCTCAAATATATTGTAAACAAAACATTACTTTAGAAAACAATTTTTGACGGACATTATTTCGGTAAATTCTTTTCCCCAACTCCCTAGTTAAGCGATTTTGCCTCGTTGTGTTGTAGGAATTGTTAAAGTATTTTAAGTTTTTAAAATCTTTTTGTTTTTCTATTAAGCTAAGGTGATTGTATAGTAATATATGTTCTAAATACTCTCAATCATTCGACAATGAACATTCAATTAATATACTGTAGTTGTTGCTATTTTAACCGTGACTTTTAAAAATAAAAATAATTCCTTTAACCATAGAGATAAATTTTCAATATCTTTTTATTATATTTATTTTATTTATGTTTAGTCAACATCATGAATATATTAACAACAACATCAAATCTATTTCAAAAGTAAGTAACTAAAATTAATTAATTAAGATATTAACATTTCTACTATATTTTATCATTTTAATTGATGTTATACTCCCTCCGTCCTATTAAAATTGTCTCTTATTGACTTTTGAAAAGGCAAATTTTTTAAACTTTGACTACAATAATTTTAAAAAATTAAATTTTATAAAATACATATTTCAAAATTATTTGATTGGAAGGTTTTAAAACATATATTATTATATTTTTATCAACAATAAATTTTAAATAATAAAGAGTAAAAGTAAAAAAATTGATAAAAATAGTCCATAAAGAACAATTTTATTGGGATCGGGTAATAATAAATTTAGAATTTAACGTTTATTTATTATTTTAATATAATCTTCATATAAACAATTAAATTTATTCTGTCTCTAACAGTTTTTATTATCATTTAAAATTGAAAACTTATATTTTTAATCACTAAAATCATTTGATTTGTCGTTAGTTCTGATCTGGTTTGCTAGTCCCCGCTCCTGCCCCCTTTGAAGTGCAATTCTTTTGTGCTGATATTGGTGATTTGGCGGGTCTGGCGTGGCTGGATTTGTATTCTAAGAAATGGCTTCAAAAAGACCCAGCAGAACCAAGAAGCTTAGGAAGAACAACTCTTCTTTCAACTTCCAAACCCTAATTTCCTCTCTTTCTTCTCCTCAGGTCATTTTCTCTTCTTTTCTTTACAATCGTTTCGCTTCCACAGTCATTCTTCCTTTTGTTTTATCTATGATTTTAATTTGGTTGGTTTTAGAGACTAAAACCAGAAACACTGGAAGGCTTGTATTTGCTACTGCTTACTTTAAGCTGCTCTGATTCCGAATGCAATTTAAATTTCTCGGAAACCGAGTTCAATTGCAACGATTACAAACACAAATTCAAGGATACTCGTGAAATCTCATGTGTCTTACTCGACAAACTCAATGCCAAGTTCAATGAATTATTCTCTGCTTTGAATGATGCTTCCCCCCACCCGATTCATTCCCACTTTATCTTCCATGTCAATGTTGAAGCTTCCATTAAAGAGCTAACTTTGCTTTTGAGATGCTGCGTTGTTGTTTCAAATTGCTTGATTTGGATCAGAAGCTTCTTGTCGAAAAAGGTCGAATTCTATTGGGGATACTAAGGAAATGTGTTTCTGTGGAGTTAAAGGGAGGGAATGAGAAACCTTATAATAGTTTCGAGAAGGAGGTTTCGTATAAATGTATGTATGTCGATAATGGTTGTACTACTCTCCACGCTGAGCACTTGGTTACTTCCTTAAGTTTCGCGGAACTTTCTAATCCATTTCATGCCATTTTATGTGCTGTGCTTGAGGTAATTTTGATTTCGGTTTTGAATTCTTATATTGCATATGTATATGCTTTGATTCAAAATTCTATTATTCAACTGCTTGTAATGTTAGTGCATTTTGCAGATTATTAAAGTTCATTCAACTAGGTTTTATTTGTTAGAAAACATCGAATTATAGGAACAGATTGTTAGTTTTGTTGCAGGAAAACTCATACGAAGAAGTTTGTAGCTTGGCTACATAGATTCATACGAAATTTTCTTTGCTTTTGGAGAGTGAAGTTATCATCCAAGGGTCCTTATGTTTTATATTTTGTCATGTATTGCTTTATTAAGCTGCTTTATTGTTTAGCCATGATTTTAAAAAATGTTGTTTGGCTTGCGTTATTCTTTTGTCAATGATTGTTGGACATTACCCAGTTCTTGGCTTCTTGGTCTCTGCATTCGACTCAAATTTTTCCTCATAGATTGCTGATATTACTCTGCTATGCCAATGGCTTTACTTGTGTTCATAGTACTCATCACCTTTGTATATTACGTAAGTTGATATAGGTATTTCTTCTATATTGGGTGGCACTTTGTTCTAAACAAATATGGCAACTTTTCAAACTAAATGATGGCATTGCTTCTTTAGGTTTCTAAGTTTCATTTATGCTTTTTAAAGTGACTTTATTCTCATCATAGATAGTTTATGGTAGTTAGGCTTCTACCATGAGAAACTATTAGGATATACTTAAGCAGGAAAAGAGTGACATAATACTAAAAATGCCATGAGAAACTATTATGATAGTTGCAGACGAGCTTCTGATGCATGAATCAGTGAGGCAGTACCTTGTTGACTCTCTCTCTTGTGGGAATGAGTTTGTATTCACACGTCACTTCGGCCATGGTCATATTGGAAGTGTGCTGGAGGTTCTTTCTGCTCACTTTGTACTCTCACTTTCAGATGACCAAGCATTTAATAATTTCATTGATAGATTATTTTGGCTTCCTAACAATAACTTCAGAGTTCCAGAAATGACTTTGACTACAGCCTTGTCATTGTTTCTTAACCCCGTCCTGTTGTCCGTACCCAAAATGTTTGAGGCATATCTGATTTTATTGGTTTCCGAAGTCATTGAAATTAGCATGTCTTCTGAGCATTTGATTTCAAGCAGTGAACTAAGAGCATACCTATCAGCATTTGAAAGGTCAGTTGCCTTGTACACCAGACACATGTCCAATATGCAGACGGAAGGCTACCCCATAGCAGGCGATGATTCTTTTTTGAAATCACGTTTTCGTGCAAGTTACAGTCAGATGGATTTTGATTCTTGTCTTTTACCAGCTACAAAAGAGAAAATTCATAATCTGATCGCTAAATTTGATAATTCATGGAATTCATATTTAAGCAGTGCATTACTAAAAGAAAGGTCGGAGTTAGTTGCTGCCTCTGTTGCATACACAAAAGAGAGCCTTCATGTTGTTGAGGAATCAACTAGATATGACATTCTATCAATCATAAGCTGTATAACACTCCAGGGTTCTTCTGATGATGTTAATGACTGTATATTGCATGACAAGGAAGATACTAGTCATCAAGATATTTGTCTTCTATCATCCATATTGAAGCTAATGAGTTTTGCTATGTGACAAGCCATAAGGATTCTAACACAAGGCGGAAATTCAGGGTCTTTGAAACATCTGAAAATGTTGCATTAAGTAAGGAATATGATCTTTTGGTTGCTACTTTCAATTGTTTTCAGCAGCTTGGTATACGCTTTCCAGTTCAGAAGTTCTTACATGACATGATGGAAATTCAGCCAACAAGGCATAAGAAGTCAAAATGGATGTTCCTTCATTTCTCAGGCTTGTTGTCACTAAGTCATGTCAGTGGGCTTGATTTTCTGGTTAAGAACTGCATATTTACATTGATAATACTGTTGAAGTTATTTGTTTATGAAGCGAGTGATCTCCATGCATTTGGATCCTTATTAGACTCAAGGGTAAAATCTTCATCACATAAATCGCGTGTTAAAGTCAGAAAATCTGAACCTTCCCATAATACTAGAGAGGTAATGTTTTCTTTTTCTTCTTTGTACTTTGTCAAGCTCATTACTTCTTTGCCTTACGAAAATAATTGAGAATGATGATTCAGCTTCTCGTGGATCGGAAATGTAGCCAAGCTGTTGCACTAAAATTCCAGAAAATTCGGACACTGTACTTGGGGTAGGTGACATTTTTGTGTCAATCTTATTAAATGTTCTTGCTCATTATGCCAAGCGCCTAATTGATCCAATTTGTTCTGTCTACGGTGTACATTTTGGTTAACTTTTCTACTTCTTTAAGTCTTTCCTAGTCCTTTTGAATAAGACTTGTTTAAATCTGGCTTTGTGAAGTATTCATCTCCGAGACATATTTAGATACGGATATGGGGATATGACCTTTTAAGGACCTTTCAAATATATTAAAAAACTTGGAAAAAATTAGAAGACAGCCTTATCGACAAATACCTGCATTAGATATTTAACAGTATAGTCCGAGTAACATATATTTAGAGTCCACTGTTGTCTATTTTGGGGAGAGGGATCTCATTCTCCTTTTTCTTCATTGTTGCAGAACTAGATCTCAGACAAGTTCTAAAAATAGAGCTCAAGAGCAGGAACCAGGAAGTTTAGAGAAAAATCATGTTGAATCGGCTCTCAGCATAGAAGAGACTACTGGTGAAACTTGCAACGGTGAGATTTTTCTCAGATGCGTTTTACAAGGCTCCCTGGACTCATCTGCTGTTGCGGATTTAGCCGACTTCATCGAGTGCAAGCAAGGAAAAGATTATTCTGAATGGCTGAAGAATCGAGAAAAATTAAGACGATGGAAATCGGAGAAATTGGAGAACTTCAGGTGGAAGAAAAGGAGAAGAGCTTTTCAGAAGAAAGCATAGTTATTTCTGCTTGGCTTAAAGGCTCAATGCCATAAAATTTGGATGAATTTGAATGTCAGTAAATATTCTAACTGCTCTTTGCGGGATTTAGAGCAGATGAATTCATTATATGCTTTATGTAAATTTATATGTAAAATGTAAAATTTTATGCCTTATGAAGAGAATGCTAGGATTAAGTATCAAAGACTACCGAGATAATCTATCTTGAATTTTTATAGTTAAATTATATCAATTATAATACTTGGTCACCAAAATGAGAAAAAAGTTTTAATTTGTATTTTAATTTATAAGGATTCAATTAAAATTTTTATGACATAAAAACTCAAGTATTGTTTTTATCTCATATTTCTTATTAAAGAAACTCAGTTATTTTTGTGATGAAACCCTGCTTCACTAAGGGTTACATGAATATTACTATTGACAGGAGAGTTACTTACACTTCGATATTTATCTCTGTCATTGATATTGATAATGAATAAATAAATTGTGATTTTCTACCATGCAACATCTATTCTTTATGTAATTAGTTTTTGATGTTTTTTTTATAGAAGTAACTAATTTTATTTAAAATAAGAAATATTCTAAATTACAATGAAATTTCCAATCACAATCGTAAATTAAGAACATAATTAAAAAAATCCTTATAATTATTGAAACAAAACTAGTAACTTAAGATCACATAAGGATCATACAAGGAAAGCTTAAATCTAACTGTTGAGTCAATCGATCGACGAATATAGCCAAGAGGGAGGTGAATTGGAAATTAAAATTTCAGTGGAAGCTTTTGCAGAAAATTGAAAAATATTTGCACAGCGATTTAGAGTGGTTCGACTTTCTCAACCAAAGTCTACATCCACTACCTTAGCTATCCACACTAAGGATTTTCCACAAATTCACTAATTTTTCTTTCTTTTGAGGACAAAGAGTAACCTTACAAATCCCTCAAGAATTATATCCTAAATTCTTGAGAATACTCTCTCTCAAAGAGAACAATACAAATTTTGCAAACTTACAGAAATCCTCACAAGGAAAGATGTTTGCACAATTCTAGAACAAAGAAAGAACGCTCAAGAATAATGCAATTGAGTACAATAAGTGTTCTTGAAAGCAAAGATGAAAATTAAATGAAATAGGCTTGAAAATACACAAACTTGAGGTTTGATGCTTTCTCTTTGATTATCTCTTGATTCTTGATAATTGTTGTTTCTTGTTGTTGATCAATGGCTTCTAAGATTGTTTAAATACTCCATCAATTGATTCTGAACGTTGGAGATCATTAGTGGAGTTAATAGAGCCGTTGTTGTGTGAAAACACTTAATAAACCAGCTTGGAGCGTGGGGGAATCGGTATCCCCTCATAGGGGATCGGTTCCTACAGTGTAAAATTCAAATATTTCGACCGTTATAAGATGGGGGAATCAGTACCTCATGGGGGGGAATCGGTACCCTCCGAGTAATCTGTTATTTCTCGAAGCTAAAACCTTTCAGGAGGTATCGGTTCCCTCCTTGGGGGGAATCGGTACCCTCTGGACAATCTGCCCATTTTGGTTTGAGATTTATTAAGAAATTTTTTTTGGCTCGATTAAGGCTCGAAATACTTTGTAAAATTGTTTAAAAGATTAAAACATATTTTTACACTTGAGTAAGGATTTGAAATAAACATTTGAAAAAATTGGAGTAATATTTTGATATTCGAATAGATTGATCGAATATATATATTTGAAAATGATTAGAAAATCTTGAAATCCAATAACATTTAATTTGTTATATCAAAAGATCAAAATGTTTTCAACAATCTCCCCCTTTTTGATATAACAAAACATTTTAGTAATTTTAAGATTTTCTAATTAAAAAACATTTTTGAAATCAAGTTTTGAAATTACCCCCTTACTATAACACTTCTCCTCCCTTTTGTTAAATCAAAAAGAAGACTTTAAAAAGTTTACAAAATAATTTTTTGCCATTTGATTATAATTAAATATAGCTTAAGATGCTAAGATCGCAATCAAGAGAAAGATTAGCCATTAGTTCCAAAAATCAATATTCATAATCAAATGTGTAATGGTGATTGGTCATAATTGAACTAATAATATAAATGATGCAAGAATTAATGAAACCAAAATAAATATTAAGTTCAATATTCAAATCAAAATAAACATTCCAACAATCCAAACAACCAAATCCAAAACAAGCAAAATGTTTTAACAATTTTAAGTTCGCAATCAACCTAAGAGAAAACTAAGCAAGAAACAAGTCCTAATCGTCCATCGGTGGATCAAGAGGTGATAAATGTGCCCATATGTTGGCCGCATCACGTGTAAGCGAATCGACCCTCTCGTCCATAGCGTCGAAATGATGATTCATCGCTTCGTTGTTAGCAGTTTGATGCGACTCGATGGATGCAAACCTCATATCAAGAGTCTTCCATAAACGATCGGAAGTATGGATGCATTTGACTCTCTTGCGGTGTCGGCTCATCATTGGGTACTTGATCGTCGATATCTTGAACTAAGTCTTGAAGTTCAGGATCGTTGTCCGTTGCTGGTGCCGGAGGAGATTGTGAAGAGCTAGCTCCCGGAGTTTCTCGGTGACTCGAACCCATTGGTCTTTTTCCCTTGTCTATCCCGATTTCTTCAAGGTTGTAAGATTGACTGGGTTCTTAAGAGGGGTGGCCACATCAAGATCGACCCTAAGGTTGGATTCGATAAAATGGTTACTTAGAAAAACAACCATAAACTAGAGTTTCAACAAGCTTTTTATTAGGAACATGGTTTATGGTTTCTACTAACTCATCAAAGATGATCTGTGGAAGAATTATTTTTTCTTGTTATGTTGGATACAATGTATCCACCATAAATCTAAAGCTCTAAGTCTGGAGTATCTACCTCCAGATGGTCTAAACCACCAAGAGATCATCAGATGAAGAAAACGATCATGATGATCGACTAAAGTGCTCACACTAGACTTAGGCTTATAACTGGTAGCCACTATGTCTTTTTCATTATCTTCACCTACGTTATCAAGACCAAAAGTCGTAGCAATTATGTCAGAATCCATGAATGAATTAGCCTAAAAAATAAGACCGAATAGAAACATTAGCAGTACAAGACTCATTTTTGACACAAACCGTATTAGAATAGAAAATGCGGACTAATTGGTGATCAACGATAGGTCTAAGCTGAAACAGTTTATCAAATTTCCAATTTTGAAGGGTCGAAAGATATTTAAAGTCTATTTGTAACATAGCTTGAAGTGAGGGGATTCGTTCTTCCCAAATTTTGTATGACTCAAAATAATTAGAATACCTATAGTAGAGATCTCGTCTATGACCAGGTTCGTTAAAGCACGAATTACGGATAGTCATAACCGGTTCGATTGGGTTTGGATTTTGAGGTGAAATAGGAGGAGGGTTTGAAGGTCAATTTGAACGACTAGAAGATGACCTAGGGCGTTTGTAAGACATGATTAACATATCAGACTAGAAAACGTTATTTTGAAGCAATGTAGAGATTTGAAGAGAAAATGGGAGTGAACGATGAGAGAGAAAATGAGGAAGAGTTTTGAGAGAAAATGGTTTATTTGGGTGTAATAAACCAGACCCTGTAGAGGGTATCAGTTCCCTAAAGTGGGGAATCGATTCCCATTCAAAGGGGGAATCGATTCCCCTTCAAGGGGGTATCGATTCCTCATGCACTAAAATTTCAAAAATATGTGTTAAATACTCAAAATGCTAAATTAAATTAGCTCTAGTGGTATTGACAACTCATACATTGAAAACTAATCATGTTCAATAAATCAAATCTATCTTTAAGTATTATTTGAACATATAATTAATTTTCACTAAGAATCATAAACTCCCCTAGCTAATAGCAAAGAGTGCAATCAAGAGTATTATTTTTGTAAGCATTTTTTATTTCTAATTAAAAGTGCTAAAATAATTTTAAACACTAATTAAAGATAGGTCAGTTAAACCTAATTCTCTCCTAAGTGTCCAAAATCTTTCTTTGTCTAAAGGTTTTGTAAAAATATCTGCTAATTGGTGCAAAGTATCAACAAATTCTAGAACTACATCTTCCTTAGTGACTTGATCTCTAATGAAGTGATGTCTAATTTCAATGTGCTTCGTTCTAGAGTGTTGGATGGGATTTTTAGTGAGACAAATAACACTAGTATTGTCACACTTGATAAGAATGATACCTACTTCAATTCCATAATAAAAAAGTTATTTTATCCATAAAACTTGTGCACAACAACTACCGACTTAAATGTATTCCGCTTCAGTGGTAGATAATGCAACACAATTTTGTTTCTTTGAAAACTAAGAAATCAACATATTTCCAAGGAATTGGCAAGTACCATAGGTGCTTTTCCTATCTATTTTGCATCCTCCATAATCCGCATCAGAGAAGACATGCAAGCTAAAACTAGAGTCTCTAGGAAACCAAAGTCCTAAACAATGAGTGTCCTTATGATATCTAAATATTCTCTTAACAGCTAGTAAATGTGATTCCTTAGGTCATGATTGAAATCTAGCATATAATCAAACACTAAACATAATGTCCGATCTACTTGTGGTTAGATAAAGCAAAGATTCAATCATTGACCTATACAATTTAACATCCACACATTTACCTCCTTCATCTTTGTCAAGCTTTGTAGAAAAACTCATTGGAGTGGCATGAAGCTTCCCATTTTCCAGTCCAAACTTCTTGAGCATATCCTTGACGTATTTAGCTTGATTGATGAAGATGCCATCTTTTCTTTGCTTGATTTGGAGTCCCAAGAAATATGAGAGCTCCCCCATCATGCTCATCTCGAACTCACCTTGCATCAACTTAGAAAATTCTTGGCAAAGAGCATCATTAGTAGAACCAAATATTATATCATCAACATAAATTTGGACTACTAATAAATCTTTACCTTTTCTCTTTAAAATAATGTAGTATCAACCTTCCCTTTTGAGAAAACTTTTTCAATTAAAAAATTTGACAATCTTTCATACCAAGCTCTAGGAGCTTGTTTTAAAC